GTGTCTGGATCTCCCGTGATCCCTTGGTTCCTTGGCTAAGGCAACAGCACTTTCACTATCACAGAAAATTTCCATCGGCTCTTTAATAGCTGGTACAACTCCAAGGTCTCCAATGAAGTTCCTCAGCCATAACGCCTCCTTTGCCGCTTCGCTAGCTGCAATATACTCTGATTCACAAGTAGAATCTGCCACTGTCTCTTGCTTGGAACTCTTCCAAGAAATTGCTCCTCCATTTAGGGTAAAGACCCAGCCCGACTGAGAGCGGAAGTTATCCCTATCAGTCTGGAAGCTAGCATCACTATACCCTACAACTCTCAAGTCATCACTCCCACCGAGGGTAAGGACCCAGTCCTTAGTCCTTCGTAGGTACTTGAGAATATTCTTTACCGCAATCCAGTGTGCCTTGCCAGGGTTCCCCTGAAACCTGCTAACCATGCTCAAGGCAAAGGCTACATCAGGTCGAGTACACGTCATAGCATACATGATCGAACCTACAGCCGAAGCATAAGGTATTCGACTCATTTCTGCTATCTCAGCCTCAGTGCTAGGGCTTTGTGTCTTACTCAGCTTGGCGCTACTCTGGATGGGCAACTCTCCTTTCTTGGAGTCTTGCATTCTGAATCTCTTCAGAATCTTCTCCAAGTAGGTACTTTGACTAAGTCCAATTAGTCTTTTACTCCGATCTCTCAAGATCCTTATCCCAAAATATAGGCAGCTTCACCAAGGTCCTTCATAGCGAAACACTTTCCAAGCCAGGACTTTACTTCCTGCAGGTTGGAATGTCGTTTCCTATGAGTAGTATGTCATCCACATACAATACCAAAAAGCTAACTATACTCCCACTAGCCTTGACATATACACAAGATTCATCTTCACTCCTAGAAAAGCCAAATTCCTTGACCTTTTCATCAAAGCAAAGATTCCATCTGCGAGGTGCTTGCTTTAATCCATAAATGGATTTCTCAAGCTTACACACTCTATTAGGGTACTCGTTACTGACAAAACCCTCTGGCTGACTCATGTAAACATCTTCAGCCAACTTTCCATTAAGGAAAGCGGTTTTGACATCCATTTGCCAAATTTCATAGTCATGAAATGCGGCTATGGCTAACAGAACCCGAATAGACTTAATCTTGGCTACCGGAGAAAAGGTCTCATCATAGTCCACTCCAGGAATTTGAGAGAAGCCCTTTGCAACCAGTCTAGCCTTATAAGTGTGTACTTTACCATCCATGTCGGTCTTCTTCTTGAAGACCCATTTGCACCCTACAGTCTTTCGACCTGGTACATTCTCAACCAAGTTCCAAACTTGATTGTCATACATGGATTGTATCTCGCTATCCATAGCCTCTTTCCATTTAGCAGACTCGGGGCCTGCCATGGCTTCCTCGTAGCTGTTAGGGTCATCTTGACTTACTAGTGTCTCATCACTAATAAGTGTCTCACCTTCTGCAGTAATATGGAATCCATAGTAATGCTCAGGTGCACTCCTAACTCTCGTGGAACGCCTCAGAGGTACAGATTCGTCAATTGGCTCAACAGGAGTTTCCTCCTCAAGTTGAGGGCTAGAGTTTGAAGTTCCTTCACCACTTGACTCTTGAATTTCTTCAAGATCAACTTGCCTCCCACTGTCTCCTTGGCTTATAAACTCTCTTTCTCGAAAGACTCCTCTTCTTGCTACAAAGACCACATTGTCACTAGGTCTGTAGAAGAGGTAACCAAAGGATTGCTGTGGGTAGCCGATGAAAATACACCTCTCGCTTCGGGGTTCGAGCTTATCATGAGTCTCGCGTCTCACGAAAGCCTCGCATCCCTAAATCTTGATGTGGTCTAGTTTAGGTACTTTACCAGTCCACATCTCGTGAGGAGTTTTGGCAACTTTCTTTGTAGGGACTAGATTAAGGATATGGGCGGCAGTCTCTAAGGCATAGCCCCAGAATGAGATTGGTAGCGAAGCTCGACTCATCATGGAACGAACCATGTCCAACAAGGTTCGATTGCGCCTCTCAGCCACACCATTCAACTGCGGTGTCCTGGGAGGTGTCAATTGTGAGACAATCCCACATTCCTTTAGATAGTCGAGGAACTTTCATGCTAGTATTGATCAGTCAGTGATAGGATGGCCTGATTAGGTTATGCTTGATTCCGATTACTCGATGCTCAAATGTTGCTTGCTTTGTGCTTTTTAGGAATTATCACTAACTTCAGCTAACTAGTAAACAAATATGTTAAGTTACATATTACAGAAACTAAATAATTTTAGAAGATTAGGTTTTAACTATGTTGTGCAGCTCCATTTTTGAGTCCAACCGTTGTAGTGTGAGACCTTTCATTCGAAAAATCATTTGGTGCCAGTAATATGTAATTGTATTCATGAGCTAGTTAGAGGTTGCTCGTAGGAGTTCCTTCTGCAGCTGATGGCGGAGAGTGGTGTGGTGGTTGACCTAGGAAAAACTAGGAAAGGATTTAGTGTTGGGAGCCTTGTCAAGTAGAGGATTATTTGTGTGGATAATGAGTGACTTGGAGGATTAAAAATGATCCTTAACGAAAGTATGGATAGATGTGGAAGGTAGTATGGGCACGTACTACTGGAAGCAGAGGATCCGTACTCGAGTCAAGGAGAACTACGATGAATCCAAGGAGCTTGTAGAGTATGAGACTCCTCGATATATATATATATATATATATATATATATATATATATATATATATATATCCGGTAAGAATTTTTTTTTGGTAAGAAGGTAAGAAATTTTTGTTCTACATAGTTTTTTTGACGAACAAAAAAAATGAATCACTAGATGATTCATTTGTAAGATGATTCACAAGAAAAAATTCTCAAAAAAACATCTTTATGATTCATTTTTAAGTAAATTAAGAAAAAATTCACTTTTATGACAATTTTAGTGAATAACAACAAAATCATTATATAAATGAATAATCTAGATGTTTTTTGAGAATTTTTTCTTGTGAATCATCTTACAAATGAATCATCTAATGATTCATTTTGTTTGTTCGCGAAAAAAATATGTAGAAAAAAAACTTTTTACCTTCCTACCAAAAATTTCCTTCTTATTTGATCTTGACTCTCTCTCTCACTATATATATACACACACACACACACACACACACATTGATGTGTATTATGATGGTTTATATTGTCTATTTTTTAGTATGGTGACTCTTCGAGGTAGACCGATGGGTGGTTCTGGTGCTGGTGAGGGCTCAAGCTTAGGTTCTGGAGCCGAGTAGTTGGATGATCAGACACGTGAGTTCATTTCATCTGATATTACCCGCAATATACTTGAGTAGACTCATGTAATCTTTGGTACGTTTAAGGAAAGTATCATGGAGGTGTTGGAGGAGCATTTGCACTGTTTCCGTTCTGAGATGGTGGCTTTGATTAGGATATGTTCACTGACCTTTAGGGAGTTATGAGCATGTGGGGCTCCGGATTACTATGGGGAGAAGAACCCGATTGCGAGTAGGCATTGGTTAACGGATGTTACTAACGCCTTCCGCACTATCAGTTCTCCCGATAGGGAAAAGTTCAGACTTGCTTTATGTCTTTTGAAAGACAAAGCTCGAGACTGTTGGGAGGAGGTTGGGCACTCCGTTGGTGATGAGGCTGTTGATTCGATGACATGGGATGATTTTATTACTAGGTTTTGAGCTAAGTTTGCACTAGTGATTGAGGTGAAACAGCCGACGAAGGAGTTTTAGGACCTTCTTCAGATTACTGAGACAGTGGCAGAGATCACCACGATGTTCCGAGAGTGGGCATTGTTGGTTTTGTAGTATATGACAGATGAGGAGATGAAGAAGGCGAGGTACCATGAGATGCTGAGGAGTGACATTCAGTAGTTTGTGATCGTACACCTCCTCATGTTTTGTTTCATGATTTTGGAATTACTTTGATATTGAACCTATTTTGAAAATTATTTGTAAACATCGATGATTTTTGGGTTGTTTTAAAAGTTTAAAATTGTCATGAGTTTTATGGATGTTACAGCTATTGCATAAATTATTGACAAGTAATTAACATGCTTAATTAGGTCCTGATGTTAGTTATTTAAGAAATATTATAAAAATGTTTTAACAAATTAGTAATTTTCTTGATCGGCCGTGTTGTTGCTATATAAAGATATTCTAAATTTTACTTTATTTTTATTATATTACATTCAATTAACGTTGAGGATCAATTATGAGATTAATTATTAGATTGATTATGAACTTTACAAAAATAAAGATTTTGGAAAAATTAACCAAGTAACACATTATGTTCAAATATTTGAAGTAAAATATATAATCTTTGCATGAGCTTTTTGCACTAGAAACAAATGAAGGATTTAATTTTTATAAAACTAACAAGAAATTAGAAATGAAAAAAAATACAAAAAATAAATTCCAACATTACTTACTTTTCTAGTTCTCTACACGTATCACCATGCAAATCATTTGAAAACAATATATTTGGAGGAAGAAGAGAAAAAAAAGACTTTAAGAAGACCCCTCTAGTTGAGATGATAGTTTTCAAATAAATCAATAGGCAAAATGGATTGATTAATATAAGAATCAACCTTTACATGAAGTTGATTTTAATGAGGTGTTGATCATTGACCCAAAATGGGAACTTTCATCTTAAGTACGACAATGATAATGTTGGTGGTTTACATCCATCATCTCATATGATGAGTGGTTTTCCTCAACTACTCTTGTAGATTACTTTTTTTTTTTTAGCTTCTCATCTATTTATAGAAAGGACTTATCTAATTACGATCATAAAAAGTATGATGCGATGTCATAATCTTTTGCCGGAATTTGACGAATGAGCATCAGTTGGACCATTTTTACGCATATAATTGATTAATAGTGTGTTTGATAGATTATTATTATAAGTTTAGGGAGGTAAATTGACAAAACATAAATCTCGAGGCGTCAAATCGAGAAATTGGTCTACAGTTCAAAGGGGAAATTTTATACAGAGTGATTGATATATAAAAGAGAGAGAAAATGCGAATCCGTCTCTTCATACCCAAGACGCCGAACGGTGAGCTGCAACACCACCAACCACCACCGTCGCTGGAAACCTCGAGATTTGAACTCGAACTCTTGCCGTTTTTTTCTAGCTCATTTGAAGTAAGTCCATCTTTCTCTCTCCATATCTGTATCCTATCTCTATGCATCTGTGGATATGAAACTAGGGGTGGGATTTTCTTTGAATTGAACTGCTATATACGTATCTACACGTATATACATGGGGCATAAGAAGCGGAACGTTGCCACTCGCTCCAAAGCGGCGACAGCTGCTGTTAATACTCCTCCAGCCCCGCCGTCGTTTCCAATCGGTAACGACAGCAGCGATGGTGTTGAGGCTAGTTCACTCTCTACGGGACATAATTTAGGTGTGCATTCGTCGACTGTTCAAATAGTACAACGAAAAACTGATGTTCCTTTAGCGATTGAATCGGATAGTTACTCTACTGTGAAAGTCGAGTGTGAGAAAGCCTTAACTGCACTCAGACGGGGGAACCATAAAAAAGCCCTACGCTTGATGAAGGAGATGTGTGGAAAACATGAGAATTCGAATCAGTTGGCGCTGATTCATAGGGTGCAAGGAACCATCTGTGTTAAGGTTGCTTCCATTATTGATGATCCCAATGCAAAGCAGCGGCATTTGAAGAATGCAATTGATTCGGCTAAAAAGGCAGTGATGTTGTCACCAAGTTCAATTGAGTTTGCACATTTTTATGCAAATTTGTTGTATGAATCAGCTAATGAAGGGAAAGATTATGAAGAGGTGGTGCAAGAGTGTGAGCGTGCTTTGGCTGTTGAGAATCCTGTAGATCCAGGAAAGGAGAGTTTACAGGATGAGAGCCAGCAGAAGATTTTGTCTGCTGATGCAAGGATTGGGCATGTACAGAATGAACTCCGGTCATTGGTTCAGAAGTCCAACATTGCTTCAATTTCGTCTTGGATGAAGAATCTAGGAAATGGGGAGGAAAAGTTTAGGCTCATTCCTCTTAGGAGGGTTCCGGATGACCCCATGGATGTAAGGTTAGTGCAAGCCAGAAGGCCAAATGAAATTAAGAAAGCAAATAAGACAGACGAAGAACGTAAGAAAGAGATTGAAGTAAAAGTTGCTGCAGCAAGGCTGTTGCAACAGAAGTTAGAGTCATCTCAATCCCAAACTGATGGAGATAAGAGTTCAGAACTTTCTTCTGGATCTAGCCAGCGTGTGGGTGAACGGAGGAAGAGTGCAAAGGTGAAAAAGAATGCAACATCTGCTGAGAGAAAGGATTGTGTTCATCCTTTTTGGAAGTCCATGAACTTGGATTCAAAGAAAGACTTGTTCAAGATTAGTGTATCAGATCTTAAGGCTCATTTTAGATCACTAAAAGATGGATCGGCTTATGAAGTCATTTCCGAAGCTTTGTCCTTCGGGGAAGCTAATAATAGTTGGAAATTTTGGATGTGCTGCAGATGCAACGAGAAATTTCCAGATCCTGAACTGCACATGCAGCATGTTATAAGTGAACACATGGGTAGCTTATTGCCCAATTTGCAGGAAATGTTGCCTCCAAGTGTAGACAATGAGTGGACTGAAATGCTTCTAACATTCCCTTGGAAAGCACTTGATATCAATGCTGCGATCAATATGGTCGAAATGCAATCAGGTTCATTAGCTGCTAGCTTTGATGATAGACCATATTTACATCCTGACAGCTGGCCACTTGCTGAAGATATTGAGCGGACAAAGCTACTTGAAAAAATTCATTCCTCATTCCAGTTGCTTATTAAACATAAATACCTTGCAGCTAGTCATCTTACTAAGGTTATACACTTTGCAGTGGATGAGCTACATTCTCGGCTTATTAATTGTGGTGTGGATCAATCACCCATTTGCATATGCTTTCTGGGAGCAACTGAACTTAGGAAAGTGCTCAAATTCTTGCAAGAGATATCTCATTCTTGTGGACTAAGTAGGTATTCAGAGAAAGGTAATCTTGTGGAAGACTTGAATAGGTCCACCCGTGTGATTGAAATGACTGAAAAGATAGTATTCAGTGAAGATAGATCATGTCTCTTGTTAGAGCCGTGTCTTCTTACTAGCCTTGGCTCTGAAAATGGGTTGGTATATGATGATGATTCTTTATTGTCATGGATATTTTCGGGTCCCACAAGTGGGGAACAGTTGACATTCTGGATGCGGTCTAGAGAGGAGAGAGTGCATCAAGGAACGGAGACTCTACAGATGCTTGAAAAGGAATTTAATCATCTCCATGCGTTATGTGAAAGAAAGTTAGAGCATGCAAGCTATGAAGAAGCTTTGCAGCAAGTGGAAGATCTCTGTCTAGAGGAAGGTAAGAAAAGGGAATACTCTACAGAATCTACACGACAAAGTTATGAATTTGTTTTGAGGAAGCGACATGAAGAGCTTATGGTGAGCTGCGATGATGCCATGCCACCTGTCAACAAATTTGAGGTGGATGCCTTGGCAAATGTTTTAAAAGAAGCTGAATCTTTGAATGTTAACCAGTTTGGGTTTGTGAATTCTCATCTATGTGACTTGGAATCTGGTGAAGATGACTATCTGCATCAAGTGGATTCTTGTATAGAAGTTGCAATCCAGAAGCAGAAAGAACAGTTGTCGATTGAGGTTAGTTTGATTTATGGAGATGTATATTTTATATTTATTTGTAGTATCTATACTTCATCTTACTTTTTTGAAGATACAGCTCAGCAAAATTGATGCAAGAATCATGCGAACTGTAACTGGAATGCAGCAGTTGGAATCTAAGCTCAGTCCTGCATCTGTCCATGATTTTGGTCTCATAGTCGTGCCTCTAGTAAAGTCTTTCTTGCGGGTTCGTATATTTATCAGTTTCTATTGACTGTTACCATGCATTCCCCTTTAAAATGAGATCTTTTTTCCCCTATTTTGACTTTTCTTTAGGCACTCCTAGAAGATTTAGCAGAGAAAGATGCCACAGAGAAGTCGGATGCTGCAAGAGAAGCTTTTCTAGCAGAACTTGCTCTAGATTCTAAAAAAGGGGACTGTTAATGATAAGCTAAAAGATAAAAGAAAGAACAGGGATTCCAGAAAAATAAAGGATGCTAAGGTTCGAAACAAATGAGTGTTGCTTATGTTCTAATGTTCTATAAGACAATGGATTGGAATGCTTCCTAATAATCCTGTTATGTTTGCAGGCTATAAACAATAGTGAGCTACATATTTTAGCCCATGAGAATGCAGAAACTGTTGATGAAAATGAAGATGCTTTTAACCAACTGAAAGATGAAGCAATGCGTAGAAAAATTGAGCTTGAAGCTGAGGAAAGAAAGCTTGAAGAAACTTTGGAATACCAAAGACGGATTGAGAATGAGGCAAAACAAAAGCATCTTGCAGAGCAACTCAAAAATAATCATGCAGACAATGAGTTAAGATCTTCAAGGCAGGTGAGTATTGAAGTGGGTGCATGTTATTGTTGCCTTTTTCTCATGTTAGATACAACTACGAGTTGTGATAATTGCATGTGAATGCTCAAGGATAATAAAATTCTGCTTTAATAGGAACCTCTGAAACAGAATAATGAAGGGATTGCAGAAGATGCGGTTTTGCTTTTTGATCAGAAAACAGGAAGAAAAAGTAGGCGCCACAAAAATGCCACCAAATTAATTGATGGGAAGCAGCAACCTGTGTTGTTGGAGAAGGAAAATGTTGAAGTTGGACAAATTCTGCTCATAAAGGGTGTTGAAGATGATAACAGTAAGTGTCTCTTGTTATTTTAACACCCATTGTTCTTGTCTCAAAGCTGCAACTTTCTCGGTTTACTTAGCATAATAATAGCAATGTACTTCTACTTTCATTTCTTCCTATTATAGCATTATATGTTGAAAAATCTACAGAACCATATAAATGTATAATGTCCTAATAAGAAAGAACGTACAATGCTATACTTGGTAGATTTTTCAAAGTACAATGCCTTGATTAATAAAAAAACATTGAAAGTATGATGCTTCAATAGAAAGAAATGAAAGTAGGATGATATAATACACAAATAAATGAAAGTATGTTGCTGTTTATGATTCAGGGTTGCTTAGCTAACCTTAAGTTAGCACAGAGTAGGGTTTTTAAAATTTTTAAACTTTTTATCATTAAAAATTTAATCTACTACTATCTACTGCAACTTATTATGTGAAGAAATGATCTCATCAAATGGAGTTCATTTTGCCTGAACAACAGATAGTTCTTATTCAGGAGAAACTGGAACAAAGACATTGAGGCAGTTGCAAGCAGAAGAGGATGATGAAGAAAGATTCCAAGCTGATCTTTTAAAAGCTGTACGCCAAAGCCTTGGTATTTTTTTTTTCCTTATCTCTACTAGAAGAATCTATGATTATCATGTTATTTTGATTATTTTTAAGTGATTTATCCATAGCAACTTACTGTCATTTGTTGTGTATTACAGCATCCTACTTTCACTTTTTTTTTTTTTTTTTAGCATAATACTTGGAATTTTTTTTTCTTACCAAGACACTGCAGTTTTGAAAAATCTAGCCAATTATATCAGTGGAAATTGGTTTCGGTTTCAATTAAATTGCTATAATTAGGTAGATTTTTGAAAGTAAAATGCTGTAACAGGAAGAAATGAACAAATCAAAGAAATAATGTTGCTCTTACTTGCATATAATCTGAAAATTATGTTACATATTTCTTATACCAGAAGGGGAAGTCTCTCGTGTAACATCTATAGAAGTATTCTCTGACAAGGCAAATGCAAATGCAAGCGATGTATATGGTACAGGCCTGAAGAATGAAGCTGGTGAATACAACTGCTTTTTAAATGTCATTATTCAGGTTGGTATGTGAGGACTTGGTTTACTTACCTTTTTAATTGGGTTAACATTAACTGCAAGAAATACCAACATACTTTCATTCATTTGTTTATTATAATTGGCAGCATTCTACTTTGAAAAAAAAAAAAAAATTGGAAGTGCAATGCCATAATCAGATAGATCTTTCAAAGTAAAATGATGTAATAAAAGATGAATGGGAGTTTGATTCCGTAATACATAGCACAAATATGTTGTTATATCTTGCATTTAGGTGTTTTTAATTTTTTCTCCTTCAATTTAAACTGCAGTCGTTATGGCATTTGAGAAGGTTCAGGGAAGAGTTTTTGAGAAGGTCCACATCAGCTCATCGCCATGTTGGCGATCCATGTGTGACATGTGCTTTGTACGGAATTTTTATTGCTTTAAATACGGCTTCAATGGAGACAAGAGGTGAATCTGTTGCTCCTACTTCTCTGAGGATTGCTCTGAGCAATTTGTATCCAGACAGTAGTTTCTTTCAGGAGGTATATACGGATAAAAGTAAAACTTATTGTTAATAAAATAAAGTTAAGCCCCAATGCAATCAATTAAATTTGTGCATATGACAGGCTCAAATGAACGATGCTTCTGAAGTATTGGGAGTGATATTTCATTGCCTTCACGAGTCATTTATATCTGCTGATTCTGATATGAAACAAGTGGAAAGCAATGGCAATGTGGCAGGTGGTTGGGAATGTGCAAACAGTGGGTGTACAGCACATTCTCTTTTTGGAATGGACATTTTTGAACAGATGAATTGCTACAATTGTGGGTTTGAATCTAGACGAATGAAATACACTACTTTCTTTCACCAAATCAATGCCAATGCCCTCAGGACTATGAAGGCATGCCATGCTTCTATCCATCTCCTTAATTTCAATTTTCATTTAATTTTAATGATTATCAAGTTTCTGTTGTGAATTCAGGTTATGTGTCCAGAGAGCTCCTTTGATGAGCTGTTAAACCTTGTTGAGATGAATCATCAGTTAGCTTGTGATCCTGAGGATGCTGGATGTGGGAAGCTTAACTATATTCATCATATTCTTTCTACTCCACCTCATGTTTTCACTACAGGTGAGGTGATGGATGATGAGTCATCACATGGTCAAACTCAAAGTCAAACCATATATACATATTTTTTCTAACTAAGGTTTTGTTTTTTGTAGTGCTTGGATGGCAGAATACTTGTGAAAGTGTTGAAGATATAAAGGCCACATTGGCAACCCTAGCTACTGAAATTGATATCAGTGTTCTTTACCGTGGCCTTGATCCCATGAACAGGCATTGTCTAGTTTCAGTGGTAAATTACGCTCATTAAATATATATATATATTTTTTTTAAAAATATATATCTTTTACTTGTTAAGTTTGTTAAACTACTATGTTTTAGGTGTGTTATTACGGGCAGCACTACCATTGCTTTGCCTACAGTCATGATCATCAACAGTGGATGATGTATGATGACAACACAGTCAAGGTATTTATTTATTTATTTATTCACTCTGCAATTATTTATTTATTTTTCTTGTGTAGTAAAGTAAAGTAATAATGAGAATTTTGTAGGTGATTGGAAGGTGGGAAGATGTCCTTACAATGTGTGAAAAAGGACATCTGCAACCCCAGGTTCTTTTCTATGAAGCTGTACACTAAATAGCAAACCATTCAGACATTATTACATTTTTTGATGGTGATAGACGGATATGTGGAGTTACACAAACACAATCAATGTATGTGCATTTTAGCAAACCAACGGATACATACACAAAAAACATGACAAGAAAGAGAGATGCTGTTAGTTATATGTATTAGTATAAAGAAATTTTGTAGGAGAAACTGAAATTGGCCTTCCCAGCAAAGTTTTGATCTGGAATTTGGAAAACAAGAAAATGTAAATTGTACTAAGATGGGTCAATGTAAGTGGCTAAGCAATAGTTATGAATGTGCCATAGACTCTCTGCTTTTTACAATTTTGAAAGAGCTACTGTATAGATCGATCATACTTTTGATAAGATGATGAAAACTCGGGTTTTGGGTTACCCAACATGTATTCACATTTCAACTCTTGTACTATTGGACTTGTGATTAAAATCAAATAATTAAGTGAAGAAAGCCCGTGTGCTCTTCTTTCCCATTATTCTGTTATTTACTATATATATATATATATATATATATATATATATATATATATATATATATATATATATATATATATATATATATATATATATATATATATATCTGATTTCAATTCTTGTAAAACAAACCAAATAAGATGGAAATTGGCAAAACTCTTTGATATGGTTGTTTTAGACGCTTAAAACACCTAGCATGTTAAATGCAGTAGCATTTAATCGATGATAAAGATGGATAACAAGTTGTAGGTTTTGTAGTTCAACAATACAATTGTGGGTTTTGTAGTTCAAGAATGCAGTCGTTGGTTGTTGAACACAATGCGTTTATAGTTGGAGGTATGATTCTTAAAATCCTAATCTTGATTTTAAGATCTCACAAGTAAAAAGTAATCTCCATGAGACCAACATCAATTTGAAGTGGGATCTATTTGATTTGATCCTATCTCGTAAGTCTTTTTATATATCAGAGCCTAAAAGAATCTTTCATTCAACTAGAAATAGAGAATCACATACAGCAAAAGGTCTCATTCTCATAAAGCATCAAAATTTCATCTGTTCATTTCAAATTACAGAGTATCATGACACTTATGATATTCCCTTGTGATCTTATGCTTTAGTTGCATATGGTCACATAAGATGTTTTTTTTCCTAACTTTTGTAGTTTGTGACAACAAAAATTGTGGTTAATTTTTAAAAAGTTAAAAGTGATTCTACTGTTGATTTCTTATTTTCTTAGAGGGTGTTTGACTAAGCTTGTTAAAACAATTTGTTAACTTATTAGAAATTTCAACCCCTATAAGTTAAAAAGGTGTTTTAAAAAAATGTTTGGATGAAAAATTGCTTATTCCGATGGAAAACTTCTAATAAGTCATTTTTTCATAAGTTATCTTACACTTACTTATTAGCTTATAAGTTAATAAGTTATAAGCAAATTAGCAAATAAGCAATAAGTTTTATTTATTTATTTATTTATTTTTGTCAAACACCCCTTTAATCAATGCCTACACTAAACAAATAGGATCTTGCGAACAAATAGCATGGAAAGAAGGTCAAGTATATCATTATAATTTTTATTTTTAGATGCAAGATAACACTTGTGATTTATGTATAATCAGTTATCATCGGATAAGTATTCATAGTTTTATGTAATTAAAATCATTTAAGTATGAGGAGTTTATTTATAGAACACTTTGAGGTGTTACCTACACAAAAGCCCAAAAATTTATTAAAATAGTACGGTTTTATCATAAAATTAGTTAAAGCACTTTTAACATGTTACCATAAGTTTTTTTTTTTTTTTTTTTTTTTATTTTTTTTTTTTATTTTTTTTTTTATGTTATTATGAAACTCACAAGAAAAGTCTAAGTCTGCAGTTCTTTTACATTTTTCATCCTGGTATATAATTATTTATTGTATTAAATTTCACCCTACAAGAAACATAAAAATATTTTGAATAACATATAAATTTTCAAGATTATAACTATGTAACGTAATTTTATTCTTACACAATATGTGTAGATTCAAGTAGTTAGTTGTATAACGTGTTTTTTTTTTTTTTAAATAATATTTTATAAATTGAAAAAAAAAAAAAAAAAAAAAAAAAAAAACATCCTTGCCATGTATGCTTACTTGATCATATAAAACTTAAATATTCGAAATTCGAATATAATATCTACTACAAATCTCCAAATTTCAAGACGTTAAACTATGCTATTTGAATGGAAGCCGTAAATTAAGAAGAAAGTGAAATATGTTTGCAGATTTTTATATAAGAGAGTAATATTATTCAATTTTTAAACCTCCAAGACCCACAGTGAATTGAAGTGAGTCTGACCACATGTCAAAATTCAAAACTCCACATGCAAAGCAAACAAACTCCCACTTAATTCGCATTCTTCGTTTTTACTTGGTCTCATTAACTCCACCAAATCCTCTCATGCATACAAACAATACATCAGACTCCTTCCAATTCTCACTTCCTTGCTTTTTTCACCATTTCTTACCCAAATTTGGCTCCCGGCTATGACCCTCAAAGGCGGCACCACCCAAGCATGCGCTGCCTGCAAATACCAACGAAAAAGATGCACCCCTGAATGCCCACTTGCCCCCCACTTCCGCCCTGAACACACCGAGATCTTCAAAAACGCACACAAACTATTCGGTGTCAAAAACATCCTTAAAGTCCTCGATCAAATCGACCCTTCTCAAAAAACCGAAGCCATGCGTTCCATGATCTACCAAGCCAACATGCGCGACCGATTCCCCGTTCACGGTTGCTACGGGATCGTCATTCAGCTTCAGATTCAAATTCGCCAGACCGAGAAAGAGCTCTACGCCGTTTTATCGCAGCTCGAGTTTTATAAAAACCAGAGACCACAACACGAGATCGTGTTGTCGCCTCTCGACTCCCCCGAGTCGCAACGGTTGCAACTCGGAATGGGAGTTGAACAACCGGACAGTGCCGCCCCCACCACGGCGGCACTTACCCTTTTCCAACACCAAGGTGTTGGTGGTGGCGATAGTCACCACCAACACCAGCAACCACAACAACAACCATTTGTTCTGGCATCGGGGTTACCGATTCCACCGTATAGTGGAAACGGGAATGGGCATGATGGGTATAATAATAATAATTCAGGGATTCATATGGATTTGAAGGAGAATATGATTTTTGTTTGGGGTCAACAAACGTATTGTAATGAGAATGAGAATAAGAATGATGATGGTGGAAAAGGTGTAGTGTCTACGTTGCAGTCTGAATTGGTTAATAGCACACAGCAGTTGACTATTCAAGATGAAGTGACTCATGACTATGATGAAATCTATCCGTTTTTTGATACCATTGATGACACTCAATCGTATATGGATTCTAAGGAGGCTAATGACTCAAGGTATAGTATATACTCTTTTCAGTACTAATTAATAACGAATTTTTTATATGTGTGTTATCATTTTCTAATTATTATTATTTTTTTTAAAATTATTTACAGTCCGGAATCATCGCCTAAAGAGACCACACAATCTCTTAAGCATGTTGCAGGGAGTAACTTAAGAAGTGCTGAACTCCAAGTAAATAAATCTTAGTCCATTAAAGCTGCGTTTGTTAGTTGTTACACAGGACTGAAAAAACCTTCTATAGGACTATTTTCTATGATAAGAATGAGGAGGGTATTCTCGTCTTTTTCACATACGAGAGATAAAAAAAAATTCCGTCCCACCTTTTTGGGTGGAATAAAAAACTTCAATATTTGTCCTACTGACATCAATCTGAGTCACGGTCTAATGCTTGTCAAATGACAACCGCAGTAAAATTTGTTATGTTATGTCCTGTGTAACAAATGGGACCTAATGAGGTTAAACATTCTTGACAACTAAATCTATTTTTTTTTTTTTTTCTGAATTTAATCTGCAGTTAGGAATCATGAGTCAAGAATACCAGGCAATTGCTTAGATGAGTTGAGAGAACAAAAGTACACAGCTAAAAAGAGTGCCTTCTTTTACTTTGCTATAGCCAGACTAGATATATAATCGTAAGGCGATAGATTAGCAGTGGTTCACTACAATTTTTTTTCTACATTTTTCCTAGTTTATTATTTCGGGAGTATATCGTACATTGAACAAAGTTGAGAGTTGTTTTTTCAGAATATTATTCTTTTCATTTGTTATCTTTTTTCCTTGAGCATCAAAATATTGGTTCCATTTTTGATGATATAGTACATGTACGACTTAATAGATGGATAAATACTTATTAGTAGTACTAAAATCTGACCCAAAATTAATGTATGTTTAAATATAAGAACGATTAAGTCTTTTTAATTTCATAGTAGTTTGGGCATAGCCTAAGTTAACTATTCAACTTGCAGGAAGAGAGACAGTTTGACAGTTCATTTAGGAAAAGGTAAGATGATTTACAGATGACCTACATCTACCACAGACAAAAGGCATCAAATCAATGAACACTGGCCAAAATTGAGGTAAACTTCTAAGTAACCCAAGAAAATATTTTTACTTAAGTGTGGAATGTGGTCCAGATAAGTGCTTGATGAAAAACATGGAGAAATGGAAGGGAAAAAAAGGAAAAGACATGAGAGCAAATCTGCAAAAGTAGGACTTAATGGGGAAAGCCTCATTTCCCATACTTTTCAGTTTTCACATTAAGTCATTCTTTTTGCACCGAGTCAAATGAAAAAATGCCCAGAGACCAAAGTGGGACAAATGAAAAAGTATGTTGTTATACTTTGAACTTAATCCACTAATTTAATACATATAAATGGACTTCTATAGAAAATAGTGTCATTATAATACCTGCATGTCAGCCCATCATGACTTGCTACATATCCAGCGTAATAGTTGCAGGAAGTGTACGTATTCCTGAAAGCATCATCATCATCATCATCAAGAGTTAATGAAGTATGTGATATCATATTAAAATAAGATACAAAACCTTAAAAAGATAATAAAACCAAAAAAACAATGGTACGCATGCAGTCATTGCAATTCATGTGGTGGAAATAATGGATATGCCCAAATGATGGATTTTTGTTTGTTGACATAAGAACAACATGAGATTGGAGAAGGAAAATGCCCTCGGGAACTTTAATGACTTTTCAAAAAGTGAATATAAGCATACGCAGAGAAATTGAAGATCTTAACCAAATAAACATATAAAATCTGATTTCTGGATTAATATAGGGAGTAGTAGTTAGAAATTAAATTTAGGAGAAAATGAACAGATTGAAGAAACTTTACATAAATCGCAGTAAAATTGCAAACCTCGTCTTCCGCGGCAGATTGATAGTTTAAAAACACTCAAACCCACGGCGGAGTTCCGTAATCAAATCAAGATTGAGTGCTTCGTGGAGCCGGCGATATGGAGGCCATGACCCATGAATATGAAGGAGAGGAAGAGTTGGCGCCTCCCTCCCGCCATAATTGGTTTTGTAACAAACTATCCATAGATTAGGTTAACTACGTTAAATTTAAACATAAAAGATAATATTTTTTTGTTGAATTTTTTTGAGGATTTTAAATGCATCATAGTTAAAACCACTAGTAATTAAGTCAAAATCGTTAATAATAAAGTCAAATAAAAATATATTAAAAATATTAGACACAAATTGTAAATTTGATCCTATGATATTCTAAAAACTATAAATATGATCCAAAAACTTTCCAAAAATGTCCAAAACTAAGAATTTTTCATGATTTTAGTTTAAATAAACTTGAAATTACCAATTTACCCTTTTAATTTTATTTTTGTTTTCTGTTTGTTATTTATTTTAATACTTTACGAAATAAAAACAAAAAAGTTAGACCCCCATCTCACCCCTATCGGTATTCTCTCTCTCTCACACACACACACACATACATCCCAAGACCAAAAAACCCAATTACTCCATCATCTTCTTCTTCCCACATGTCCGTCATATTATCACCATAGACACACCACATACAACCTCATATTTGTTACAGTTCACCAATAAACAACACCTTTTTCACATCACCATTCCCACCATCCACCACCGCAATCTTAAACACAACCTGCAAATCAGAAAGAAAACATACACAAGTTTATTTTGTTTCAACCGGGTTTACAACATTTTTGTCTTTTTCGAGTGTGTTAGTGTTTTTTTCTTCATTTTTTCAATGTGTTTATTGAACCCATATAAACTTCGATTGTCCGTGGAGATATGCTTCGATTTATGTTGTTCATCACCCCTTTCTTCTTAAGAGCCCTGATTTCTTTGATGGTGGTTGTCCAATGGTGTTGAAAAAATGGGTTTGGGGTTGTGACAACTTGTTGGTAATAGATAGTCTGATATGTTCTTGAATGAAGATGGAGCCGTAATCGTGTCTATTATCGATGATGAACAACATATATGGAATCCCTTACGCATGTCCGTGTTGAACCAAAGGTTAGGGTTCCGATTCAAAGAAGTAGTGATGATGATGGCGGCACTAATGGAGAAAATGAAAATTTTGCCAACTGGAACTCAAAAACGGTGCGTGCAAGTGAGAAACAAGAAGAAGAAGAAGAAGAAGAAAAAGAAGAAAAAGAAGGGATGGCAGAATTAGTGTGGGTTTTTTTTTTTTTTTTTTTTGGTTGTTAATGGAAGGGACACTGCTAGATCTTCTTACTCTCCTGATAATCGTAGATACTTTATCGATTGGTTGTATGATATGGATAAAAATTGATATGTTATAAAGATTTCCTTTTTGTTAATCTTTGAATTCTTGATTTAGTGAAAGTGAAGCAATACATAAATTTTGGTGAAATATGAGGATTAAACTATTGCACGTGAGGTGGTAAAGAAGACAATGGAGATGTGGGTTTTTTTAGGGTGTTATTTAATGTGTTTGTGAAAGAAAAAAGAAAGGAAAAAAGAAAGGAAGGGTACAATGGGTGAGTGTAGGAAAGGGGTGGGTAAGTTTCTTTATTTATTATTTATTAAAGGGGAAGTAATTTGTACACTCAACAATTTTTGTCTGTACATAATATTTTATGCTTAATATAGTTGTACAATAGGCCTGACAATCGTGTCGTGTTCGGGTTGGCGGGTTGTCGGATCAAAATATGCCAACCCAAACACGACCCATTTAAATATACAGGTCACGGGTTGGCGGGTTTGGAACATAAACCCATATATGACCCACCAACCCATTTATTTATACGGGTTCACAGGTTGGTGGGTTCGTGGGTTAGATTTGGGTTCGTGAGTCTAAATTTTAGACATTTAAGTCTTAAACATCCAAATGAAAGTTAAAAACATTTATAGAAACATGTTACAGACTTAGCCTTAAAGGTGACGACCTACGACCTTAGACCATCCACCACGAGTCAAAATGTCAAAATAGTCAAATGGTCTATGAATCAATGGTATATATTATATAATACTTATTAAATATTAATACTTGATATATAAATACATTTAAAAATAAAATAATTTTTTTATTGAGTATATAAACGGGTTGGCGGGTCAACCCGTTTATTTTTTGAGAAACCCATATATGACCCATTTAATAAACGGGTTGGCAGGTTGGCGGGTTGGCGGGTTGAAAAACTCAACCCAAACCCATTTATTTCGTGTCGTGTCGCGGGTCATGTCAAGAATTGCCAACCCTATTGTACAATACAACATTTTAAAGCAGAAATTGATGTGTATGGAGAAATTTTGTTGTGTACTAGTCAGTTCCCTTATTAATGTAATAAATTATAAATAAAAAAGGAAAATAAAGAAATGAAAAAGGCAAAATTGTCTTTTTTAATCCAACAAGGACCAAATTGTAACATTCGGATCCCATGGTACTTTATATTTTTCAAAATTTCCATTTTATAGGATCGCCACGATATGGTGAGGAGGCACCACGACGTGGCAAGTCAAGGTCAGCCCGTGTTTTTCATTTAAGACGCTACGACATGGTAGTATAAGCCACGACGTGGCAGATGGCAAATAAGAAACCCTATTTTCTGGGTTTTGCTCCTTATTTAAAGGAATGAGGAGGCTAGGGTTTGCTCTCCATCAGTCTCCATCATACATATGAAACCCTAAATCTCTTTTCTCTCTCTCTCTCTCTCTCTCTCTCTTTCTCTCTCTTTCTCTCTCTCTCTCTCTCTATATATATATATATATATATATATATATATATATATATATATATATATATATATATATATATCTTTCTCTCTCACATTTTGAGCCTTTGTTGGTGCTCTTGAAGCCTTGGAAGGAAGAAAGAAGAAGAAGTGAGCTGAGACTCAACAAGCTAGTCCTCATCCTTGGTATGAGAAATCTATGGACTTTTGTAAGTGTCCAAGACTCGATTTTTATCAAAATAGGTTGCTAGATCTTATGTTTTGTCTTTTAATCTTCATGTTTTGTGAGTTGGAATGATGGGATCTGATAAAGCTTGCAAAATTATGAATCTAGGGTACTTTTGGTATGATTATTGGTTAATTCTGGTTTCTTGGTGGGTTTTGAGCCATGCATAAGATTTCCATAGAAAAACCCTCTTTTGGCTCATTGTGGCTTTAAGACATGTATTGGACAAGAATGTCTATAAAGCACCAACTTTCATATTAGATTAGGTGTTAGAATTTGTTCTGGAGTAAATGAGCTATGAACTTTTTGGAATAAGTGATTAATGGGGAAAGTCATGCCATATTTAGCTCCTTTGAATATGGGGTTTGAGATTTTGACCTTGTGGATGGTCTTATCGGGTAAAGTTGGAAACTTTATCCTTTTAAACCTTGTTTCATATTAGATCTGAAATCTAGAGCCTTTGGGATCGAAGAAAACAACTGAATCTATTAAGTTGCTGAAAACCCAGTTCCCACGACGTGGTTCAGGTCGCACAACGTTGCGGTGGGAAAAATTGCAACTGACTGCTATTGGAAGGCCACAACGTGACAATTGACTAAGGTTAACGTTGACCCTTGACTTGAGTTGACTTTTGGTCAAGCAACTATTTTGGAAGAAGAACTCAATGTTTATTTGGTTTGACTGATTAGGTGATGCGTAGCAATGGTACTATATTAGTGAGAGCTATAGCAGTTGAGCATTTTCTGTGAGGCGAGTCTTCTCGCCACACTAGTGGGTTGAAGACAATGCCGACCCTTCGTATGTGTAGGATGTATGTGAATAGTTTAATTATTACTGATATAATTGGGTGATACATGCATGGATCCAATCTGGGCTCAGAGTCATTATGAACTCAGGGTTGATACGGACCTGATACAACAACTTGTTGTTTGTAACATCCCGATGTTGAGGTATTTTCAAATTATCCCTTTATTATCAAGACTTATAATATTTAGCCCTTGTGTATGATAAAGTTAGCAAAGTGGCCCATAGTGGTATTTTTGTAAATTCGAATTGAGGCTTAGTACGTTGGGCGTATATTGTGTAGGTTGAGCATACATGCACAGGGTTGAGTACATTGAGTGTACACCCAGTACGTAGTGTGTACGTGAAGAATCCTCAAACACTGATTTTTAGGGTTTGGTCCATATTTAAGCATCATTAACTCCTCATTTCTCATTCCTTTCTGGCCTCCAACCTTCATTTCGTCCTTTGCAACCTAATCCATTGTGTGTGATCCTTTGAGCTCAAAAGTGTGTATTTGAGGAGCCTTTGAAGCAAGGTAAAGAAAATAGCATCCTCTTGGAAGATCAAGACCTTCTAGATATAGGAACATCTCACCTTTAAGATCCATTTTGAGGTATAAAGTTATGAACTTGATGATTCTATGCATAGATCTAGGTTAGGAATGGAGTTTGTGTCCTTTTGGTCCCATTATTTGGGTATTTTTGAGTATAAGCTACTCCAATCCATTTAATTCGTCCTTTCAGTCGTTTTGTGGTGTTTAGAAGCATAAAAATGTGGACTTGATCACTTATTCCTTTCCATGCAAGTGCTATAAGGTCTTAATGGGTTAAATAGATGAGATTTTTAGTATTAAGCACTTTTTGGCCATGCAAGACCTTAAAGTTGGAAACTTTATAGTCAAGAACATTATTTGGGGTTTGGATCTAACTTTGGATGAAATGACTTGCTGTAATAAGCTCTTAGTGAGAAAAGAGTTGACCAGGTGCGTACGTTAGGCGTACTAGGTGGTACATTGCATGTACGCAGTCAGAGCCCCATCGCCTGGTTAACCAGCAAGTACGCCCCACGTACAGAGGAGTACGTTAACATACTTGGTTGAGTCGACTCAGTTGAGTTAGCTTGGATGAGTTGACTCGACTGGGTGTTGACTTGACTTTTGACCTTTGACCAAGGGTATTTTGGGAATTGTTATTTATGTAGAATGGAAATTTTTTTGATTACTAGGAGTCGATTGAAGTGAGATTTAATGAATACACTCCACTCAATAAAGAAATGAAGTTCATGCCATTTATAGTATATCTGGGGTAAATTAAAGGACCATAAATGTAAATATAATTATATTATTTTGATTGATTGTAATAGGATCCAATGGATATACTGTACTCAATAGAAAAACTAAAGTTTAGTCAATTTATAGTAAAATTTTGGGTAACTTAAAGGATCATAAATATAAATATAGTTATATTATTTTGATTTGATCGGGATCAATGACCTTTTTCCTATCACCCTCTATATAAGGTATGTTTCGTGGTTTAAATTTTTTAAATCGGGCAGACGATCCTTGATTTTAGTTTTTCATATCACCTGGGTCACCGATATATCCATGCCTCCTTGTTTTTGGTTTTATTGTCTAATTGATTTGTCAAAGCTAGTTCCCTTTATGTTGTCATAAAATCATCTTTACCATGATATCAACAAGTTTTGTAGGTTTACCTCACTCAAAAGCTTTAATTTTTCACATTGTTAATAATACTATTTTCCACATTGTTAACAATACTAATGACAAAATCAAAGCTTTTGACATTCATGGGAGCTTATGATCACACAAATAACAGTCGAGTGTAAGAATCACTTTAATGACATCTCTACAAACCTTGGGGATGATACTTGCAACTCCTTCTTTTGATGTGTTAGACTAAATGACAATAAGTAAGCCGAACTGTCAATCCACGACACTATACAAATGCGGAACAAAATTAGGAAAAGACCACAATAGTTGCAACTCATTTTGTCATGTTTTGTATGTTTAAGTATGAATTTAATAAATTAATGGTTATTTTATATTATTTTTTACCGTGTTTTAACTAAGTCGTTTTCTTGTTATTTAAAAGTAACACTGTATGCCTCTTTGCACACCTTCCATTTCATCTAATTCTATTCCTAGCCTTTTCCTATATGTCATAGTGTGTTACATAAAAAAAATTTCTTCTTGTGTCGTACAAATAAAAACACAACACAATTTTATGGTCTAACACCCCAACAATAAAAGAACATCTAGTAATGGATGAGTGGAAAAGACCAAAATAACATCATGTGAAAGATACATGACAGTCGTGAGGGATATAAACACATAGGGGCTAATGATATTTAGGGCAAGAAGGAAAGATGTTAGGAAGATTTGAAGTGTTGTAGAAATGCAACAAATAAAGCCTAAACAAATTTTAAAAACCACATGAGCGATTCTTGTAATTTTCTCTTATGTATTTGACAATTGGTAAACATTTTTTCAAATTTGGTGTGATTTCTATTTATAACATCAAAACATTACATTGATTATCAGGATTTGATTCAAGAATAAATATGATATACTATTCAAAGATTCATCATAAATGATCAATGATCATACGTAGATGTAGAACCAAATTTCAATGAGACACATGTTTAATTAACTTAATACAAAATAAAATTAAACAATACAAAATAAAATTAAACAAAATTTAAAATATAATGTGATTAAAAATGATCATAAATTATTATTATTATTATTATTATTATTATAAGAATTAAGAAGGAAACAAAAGAATTTATAAAAGGTAAATGCAATTGAAGGCAAAAACCGAACCAAGGAGGCAACCCGGTTTTAAATTAGAGAGGGCGGCCTCAAAAGATGCATAAACATTATACGACGGTTTTATTAAGCCACAGACGCAGCCATGAAATACTGCAGGTGGGTGATGACGAAGGGTTTCTCCTAGCTAACCTTCAATTCATCGCATGGAATGAAAGACTTGATTAAATTGGATTTTGGAAGACAACCAACAATCATCCCTTTTGGCTTTATGCATTCTACTCCTTTTAATTTTATTGATTTGTGGTTTAAGGATGTTAATGAAAATTAGGGTTTTAGTTTTGTATGTGGAAGTCTGCGTTTCTTCTTCCTCAAAATGCTACGCTGCGTTTCAACATTCTTTTTTATAATATGATCACGTCTACTTTTCATTCTCAAACTCGTTTTTCATCCCCGCAAATGAACCATGAGCTAACAGGTTCGGTGCTTTCTTTTAATCGAATGATTGAGACCATACCTGTACCTCCTGTTCGTCAATTCAATCATATCTTGATTAAAATTGCTAAAATGAAGCAATACCCTACTGCCATCTCTCTCATTCTGGACCATGACCTGTTAGGCTTCAACTCTTCTGTTAAACCTAATTTATATACATTTAGCATTGCCATGAACTGCTTCTGCCATACAGGTAGAGTGGATTTAGGTTTCTCAGTGTATGGAAGAGTGGTTAAGCTCGGTTACAAGCCCGATTCTGCTATCATTCATACTCTGATAAGGGGGCTTTGTGATAATGGTAACATTTGTGAGGCGCTAAAGTTTTCTGAAATGAATACGAATAATGGATTACAACCAACAGTAGTTAGTTACTTTTGGTACAATAATAAACGGCATTTGCAAAAAAGATGGCCCACAAGCTGCTCATCGTTTTCTTCAGCTTGTGGAGGAAACTAAGGGCTTTCATCTAGGCACAACTGAGTATAATACAATCATCAATGGCCTTTGCAAAGATAGACATCTTACTGAAGCTCTAGAAATCTATTTCGAAATGGAAAAGAAAGGTATTCTTCCTGATGTTATAACATTCGATAGTTTGATTCAAGGTTACTGTAATTTGGGTTTATGGGAAAAGGTGAATGGATTATCTACTGAAATGAAAGCTAAAGGAATTTCATATGATATAGTCACGTTTAGCATTTTAGTTCATTATTGGTTTAAACAAGGTTGGACTGAAGAAGCACATAAAATTATTAAATTGATGTTGGAAAGTGGAATGAAGCCTGAAACTTATATGTATACTTCAGTAATACATGGCTACTGTTTACTTCGTAAAGTAAATTATGCTAGAAAGATCTTCACTTTTATGATTCACAAGGATGTGTGCCTAATGCTTTCACTTACACTACACTAATCAATGGATATTGTTTGGTTGGAAAAGTGGATGAAGCTAGAGAGATCTTTGAGGTTATGATTCAAGAAGGGTATGCACCTTGTGTTGTTAGCTATAGCATCTTGATTGAAGGATACTACAAGAGCAAAAAGAAAGAAAAGATTGAAAAAGCATGTGATCTCTTTAGTGAAATGTATGGAAATGGAATTGTTCCTAATGTAGTCACCTGCACCTCTCTTATAAATGGTTTATGTCATGTGGGAAGACCCAAAGAGGCATTTCGGCTTCTTATTTAGAACTATGGAAGATAATGGCATTAAACCTGACATTGTTGTTTACACTAGCCGTATTGATGGTATGTGCAAAGCTGGGGAAGTCAAGGATGCCTATGAAATTTTTCGTGGACTCCCTAGTAGAGATTTGCAACCTAATTGTCATACTTATAATGTCTTGATGGGTGGATTTTTTAAGCATGGTTATCTTAAAGATGTGAATGATCTGATTCAAGAAATGGAGGTTGAAGGTTGCATGATGGATGGTGTTACTTATAATTTAGTTATTCAGGGATTTCTTCGACATAATGAGACAAAAAGGGCACTTTTATATCTTGAAAGCATGCTTGATGTTGGTTTCTCTGCAAATGCAAGTACAACAACTAAACTAGTGTACTTGTTGACAACAAAACATTTGAATAGGGCATCGAAGGAATTGCTTAAGAAGTTTTTTAGTCAACAGAAAAAAAAGGTTAGATGTTGTGGGATTTTGGATAGAAGGGGAATTCAATTCCGTTCCAGTCTGTGTTTTGTTGCAAAAAAGTATGGAATTAAATTATGTAAGAAATCACAAAGGGTTCTTTGACCAATGTGTTTTCACATTCCATCTTAAAACCCATGGAATTCAACCTGCAGCATTTTTCCTCCCTGCACAAAGTACTCAATACCCTTTTAACCCTACAAGGTCTGCTAATCCTTCAAACATGTGGCTGAATGGAATCCAAATCCTTCAAATTCTAATTCCTTTGACCGATTCCAATTCCTTCCAAAACATTTTGCTAACCAAACGCCCTCTTAGATTCCAATTCCAATAAAGGAAATGACTGAAAGCACAGGCATAGAGGGTGTAAAACACAAGCCAGTTGACAATACGTGTCTATGGTATTTCCTGTGAGGACAGCCAGGCAGGCAGAAGGCAAGTTGACAATGCGATAATCTGGTGGAATTGGAATTCGAGATTCCCTTCCGCTATTTATGTGATTGCTAAATGGATGGAATTCAATTCCGCTACAATATATCAAACTCCGTTTTTGAGGATTTCATACTGGGAGGGTGGAAAGAATTGAATTTCATTTGTACTTTTTTTATTAAGGGACCAGAATACCCTTATTATATATTTTGAAATAATAAAGTTTTCATTGTATATATATGTGTTTAAAAGAAACAAAAAGTATTTAAATCAAATAGGAATTTAAAGATGATCTATTTTTAGGGAAATGTCATTTTGGTCGGGTATTTCAATGTAGTGAAATGTTACCTCAATCAGAAATTCTAACAACATAAATAGTATACAGAGAAATCTATAAGTTTACAAAGCAAAGAAAACAGCATCATGCTTTGATTACTTTCATTTCTAATTCTTAATTTTTTTTTTTTTTTTAATTTTATGTTAATGTTTTTTCTTATTAAACCATTGTACGTTCAAAGTACAACAATTAAATAAAAAAAGTTAATATTTAAAAGTGAAAGTTAGATGCCATAATTAGACAAATAAAAGAAAGTACATTCATTTATCCCAATCAGGGGCTAAATGCAAGATATAGCTAAGTACTTCCATTTGTTTGTCTGATATAACATCATACTTTCAAAGTACAATGCTTAAACATGAAAAGAAAGAAAAAATTAAAATAAAATTAGAAATGAAAGTTAGATGCTATAATTTTCCAATTATTTCCATTCCTTCATTTCTTGATTAGTCATCTTTTACAGGAAGTGCACCTCTGATTGCTGTTCAGGTATTATGGAGACACTAGGTGCAATCACATTAGCCACTGAAATCAAACCACCAACCAACTATCTGATACTTGGAAGACCTGTTGTACACTATTTTGTATTACCTTTTTATTTGTCAATTGCCTTCTACAAAATTGCCAATCACCTTCTACTATTTTAATGCTATTTGACTTGACTGGTGTGAGACCTATGTATTACATGAGTATATTAAAAATTAAAATTTTAATATAAAGTTGTAAGCATTATGTATTTTTAAAGTAATAGTTTGACATAAATACAAATAATATAATGAATAGAGTAAGAATTTAATATATTCTAGGAGATTTGAAAACATTAAGGAAAGAAAAGGTTATAGAACCTTTATTTTGAAATTTAATAGAATGATCTACCTTACATAGATAAACCATCATTAAAATATGGATTTTAAATTTTAGAAAATGAAAAGATAAAACTGCAAAAATGGTGTATGTGGTATGGGCTCTTTCTTTATTTGTTTTTATTTTTAAAATTTTAAATAAAAGGGAAAAATATTTAAGAAAATAGAAAAACAAATTAAAATGGTAGATTGGTCTTTTCAAGTTTAAGAAGGACTAATTCCACAAACAAACTACCTCAAAAAGATCATTAAACCAAAAAAGTCGATGTTTGGACCAAACATCAGGAAAAAAAGCATACCATAAGGACCATTTTTGCAGTTTTGTTAGATGAAAAATACAAGAAAATGACAAATAGAAAAAATAATTCAAAAATGACATGTATCATATTAAACATTTAGCAAAAATGATTTCAATTTATTGTCAACAATATTGACAATATGACCCTACTATCTAATGCCATTAGGCCAAAGTCCATTTTTTTTTTAACTCTTTTTCAAGTTTTAATAAATGAGAAGGATGAGGTATACTACCATTTTGACCTAGCTTTTCCGCAATGAGATCCAAATCATTCATCAAGAACTCAAAAATATTAAATCACAAATTATGATGGACTTTGAATGAGATCTTCTCATTAATGGCTTATTTATAAACCTTCAGGATGAAATTTGAAACCCTTTTTCTTTTGGGTGTTAGACAAAATGGCGGCAAGAGGATATCTAATTAATGGAGAAGTGGAAAATACCAAAATACCTCATGTGATGTGGACTAAAGTTGTTGCATTTTGGCAATTCATAAACAACATTTTTTTCCATTCAGATTTGGTGTTTTGTATTTATATTATTAAAACATTACACCGATTCATATTTTGACACAAAAATAAATATAATTCAGTTTTTTGGATTCATTATGAATGGTCAATGACAATAGACGAATTTAGAACCAAATTTCGACTTTGATTGGCAACAAACGTAACATAGTATAAAAAAATACAATATCATCATACATGGACATAAATTACTTGTTCATAAAAAAAATATAAGGTAACAAAGAAATTTATAAAAGATAAAGATAATTAAGTAATGTAAATTGTGAACTATATAGAAACTCAATTAAGTGTCCGGGTGACATTCTTTTATTTTTCAATTTTGCATGACATTATCATAACTAATTTGATAATATAAAATCTTTTTAATGTAACATAAAAAAAAACAATGATAAAATTTTCAAATTCATCAATCTCATACATCATGTCTCGAAAACATCCAATATACAAACTATCCAAAATATCAGAGTAAAAGAAATCATAATCATGGAAACATGAGGGGGGAGAATGTTGTGCCATCACGTCGGGCCTTCCCTTTCGTACCGGAAGTATCTGAAAACCATAAACATAACTATAAGCATAAAGCTTAGTAAGCTTCCACAAAATACCACATATAACATACATATAAATATAACAACACATGACTGTGTCGGTTCCATATCAACCCCATGTAAAAAGAAGTAGTTGTGTCGAGTCCGTATCAACCCCGAGTCCATAATGACTCTGAGCCCAGACCGACTCCATGCATATATCATACAATCATAATAGTAATAGTCACATAGTCATCTATATCCTACACATACGAATCGGTTAGTCAGTATTAGTGCCTTCGACTTATTAGTATGATGAGAAGACTCAACTCATAAAAAATGCTCAATTGCTACAGCTCTCACCGACATAGTATCGCTGCTACGCACCGCCTAATTAGTCAAACCAAATAAGCCTTGAGTTATTCCTCCAAAATAGGTGCTTGACCAAAAGTCCACTCAAGTCAAAGGTTAAAGTCAACGGTTAAAAGTTGACTTTTGGTCAACTGCCACGTCGTGGCCACCTATGGTCACGCCGTGACCCTCCGGTAACAGCCAAACATGATTTTCCCAATCGCCACATCGTGGCCATTGGTTTTCAGTCGCTTAATAGATTAAACTGTTTTCTTCAATCCCAAAGGCTCCAAATTCCAAATCTGATCTGAAACAAGGTCTAGAAGGATAACCTTTTCAACTTTACCCGATAAGACCATCCACAAGGCGAAATCCCCAAACTCTAGATTCAAAGGGGCTAAATATGACATTACTTTCCCCATTAACCACTTATCCCAAAAAGTCCATAGCTTATTTACTCCATAACAAATTCTAATATCTAATCTAACATAAAAGTTGGTGTTTTATAGACATGCATGTCCAATGCATGTCTTAAAGCTATAATAAGCCAGAAAGAGGGTTTTCTATGGAAATCTCATGCATAGCTTAAAACCCATCAAAAACCTAGATCCAAACCAAAAATAATACCCAAATTCCCATAGATTCATAAAGTTGTAAGATTTATGAGATCTCATCATTCCAACTCACAAAACATGAAGATAAAGGGAGAAAACATAAGATCTAGAAATCTATTTGATAAAAAAACAAGTCTTGGACACTTACAAGGGTCCAGAAGATTGCTAACACAAGGGATGAGGACTAGCTTGATGAATCTTGGCTCACTTCTTCTTCTTTCTTCCTTCCAAGGCTTTAAGAACACCATAAAGGCACAAAATATGTGTGTGTGTGTGAGAGAGAGAGAGAGACAGAGAGAGAGAGAGAGATTTAGGGTTTCACAGGGCTGATGGAGACTGAGGGTGAGCAAACCATAGCTTCCTCATTCCTTTAAATACGAAGCAAAACCTAGAAAACAGGGTTTTCTCTTTTTCCAGCTGCCATGTCGTATCATATACTGCCACACCGTAGCGGCTTAAATGAACTACACGGGTTAACCTTGACTTGCCACGTCGTAATGCCTCCTCACCACATCGTGACGATCCAATAAAAGGCAAAATTTGCAAAATGTAAAGTACCTTGAGATTCAGATGTTACATTTAATATGAACCATAATCTATATAAAAAATAGTAAACCACACTATTTAAGTCGCTCATGTTAACCTATCCCAGAGCCCATATAAGAATCACAGAACAATAAACATATTTTGGGTGTGTCATAAATATTTTGGGTTGAATCGTGGACCTCCCGTGTGAGATTTCGCTCCTCAACCGCTAAACTCTCATAACACTAAAACTAATAATTCATTGTGTAAATACACATATACCAACAAAAAACTGGGGCTAACAAATACGTACCACAAAGAACCACCAACATGTTACCAACCGAACCAATAAAAACAGTAGCCAAATTGTTTGGTAGCCAATATGTTTGATCGATAATACCATGTCAATTAAGTAGTATTTGTATGATAACGATATAAAATTTTGAATACCACAGTTGCATTGTACCAATCAAATATCACAAACAAATCTTTGAAGTAAAAAACACAAGTACATGAATGAAAACTCTTTTTCTACTTATTATATTTTGACTAGCACGTGATTGGCGATACCAAAAGAATTACTAGCACATAACTCTAAAAGAGTAAAAAAGAATACTAAAACAAGCGACAACCACAAGTAGACAACTTCATTTCACATTCATGTTTAGCTTATCAAGTGTCAAACTCTTCAAAAATATTTATTAGTTAAAAACTTTGGTATATATCAATACCAATATATACCAACTACATTTTTTGGTTGTCAATTTAGTTGGTACAAAACCAAGGTTGCAGAAAACGTTAGACGTTAGCTAGTCGGTGGACTGGGGTCTAAGGATTAATCGGCTAGGCGGGGATTAATCAGAGGATTAATCGGGGACCATTAATTATTATGAAAATTATTCAAAAATTTATAAATATAACTTTAATCGTAAGAATATAAATAAATAAGCATAAAAGTTTAATAATAAGTTTAACAAGCACAACAATTTATCATCAAATTAATAAAAAAACTTATTCAAATTTTAATATATCTTAAGAAAAATAAATTTGGGTATTTGTACATTTGAAAACATAGAAATTTTGAAAATTTTGGAGAAAAACTTTAAATTTTAATTTTTAAATTTTTTTTTTATATATTAGTTGAACATTGAAATACTATCAACTTTTGGAATTTTGAAAATTTTGGTTTAATATTTAAAAATTTGAAATTTTGAAATTTTGGCCGATTAGGCCGCCTAGGACCGATTAGAATTGTCTAGTTCCGACTTTGACCCCCTTTGACTAAAACCGATTAAGCCGACCGATTAGCCTTATTCCTATTCGGTTGTAGACCGCCTAGCGATTAATCCCCGATTAATCGGCCGTCTAGACCGATTTTTACAACACTGTACAAAACATAATCGGTACGATATTGCTATTGGTATTTAAATTCTTCTATCGATTATAGTTGGTATGATATTGCCATTGATAGTTAAATTCTTTTGTTAATTATAGTTGGTATGTTATACGGTTAAAAAAAAAAAAACTTTGATACCTATAATTCCACCCCTAAAATTAAAAAAAGGAGATTGACTTAAAATGTAAGGTAACACACGTATAAACCTAATGGTATGAACTTACGGCGAGGTGAAGCCAATCCAAAAAGGCAAAGACACGGAACCTGGTTTTAAATTAGAGAGGGCGGCCTTTTGGACTTGCCCAAATTAGTCGCATTATTTTCAGAAGATATAAATACACATTTACGACGGTTGTATTAGGTACAGGCGCAGCCATTGAAATGCTGCAGGGGATGATGGTTGGGCAGGGTTTCTCATAGCTAATCTTCAAATAATCACATCAAGATTTGATTAAATTCAACTTTGGAAGTCAATAATCATCCTTTTTGATTTTATGCTTTCGACTCTTCTAGTTTTATAGATTTGAGGTTTAAGGATGTTAATGGAAATTAGGGTTTTAGTTAATCATGTGGAAGCCTGCGTTTCTTCTTCCTCAAAATGCTATGGTGCGTTCCAACATTCTTTCTTATAATACGATTACTGCTACTTATCATTCTCAAATTCGTTTTTCTTCCCCACAAATGACCTATGAGCTAACAGGTTCGTTGCTTTCTTTTAATCGAATGATTGAGACCATACCTGTACCTCCTGTTCGTCAATTCAATCATATCTTGATTAAAATTGCTAAAATGAAGCAATACCCTACTGCCATCTCTCTCATTCTGGGCCATGACTTATTAGGCTACAACTCTTTTGTTAAACCTAATTTATATACGTTTAGCATTGCCATAAACTGTTTTTGCCATATAGGTAGGGTGGATTTCGGTTTCTCAGTGTATGGAAAAATGTTTAAGCTTGGTTATAAGCCCGATTGTGCTATAATTAATACTCTAGTAAGGGGGCTTTGTGATTATGGTAACATTTGTGAGGCAGAAAAGCTTGCTCATGGCATTATGAATGATGGATTACAACCAACTGTTGTAACCATTGGTACCATAGTAAATGGGTTTTGCAAAAGAGGCGACTCACAAGCTGCTCTTCTTTTTTTCCAAGATGCAGACAAAACTATGGGCTGTCAACCAAGCACAACTGAGTATAATATACTCATCAATGGTCTTTGCAAAGATGGCCATGTTACTCAAGCTTGTGAGATTTATATAGAAATGATCAACAAAGGTATTTTGCCAGATGTTGTAACATTCAATACTTTGATTCAAGGTGTTCGTAATTCAGGTCAATGGGAAGATGCAGATGGATTATTGATTGAAATGGAAACTCAAGGCATTTCATACGATGTAGTCACATGTAGCATTCTAGTTGATTATCTATGTAAAAAAGGCGAGATTGAAGGAGCACATATAATGATTAAATCAATGTTGGAAAGAGGAATGAAGCCTGATACTTATACATACACTTCACTAATGCATGGCTACTGTTTGCCTGGTAAAAGAAATGATGTTAGAATGATATTCAAGATTATGATTACACAAGGGTGTGTGCCTAGTGCTTTCACCTTCACTACACTAATTCATGGATATTGTTTGCTTGGAAAAATGGATGTTGCTAGAAAGATCTTTGAGTTTATGATTGGAGAAGGGTATGCGCCATGTGTATATAGCTATAGTGTCTTGATTGAAGGGTACTGCAATAGTAAAAAGATGGCATGCATAGAAAAAGCCAAAGACCTTATTAGTGAAATGCATGGAAAGGGAATTGTTCCTAATATAGTGACCTACACCTCTCTTATAAATGGTCTTTGTCACGTGGGAAGACTCAAAGAGGCATTAGTGCCTCTTAAATATATTCTGAATCAGGGTATTTATCCAAATATATTTACTTACTCTACTTTGATAGATTCTTATTTAAAAAATGAGAAAATGGATGAGGCCCTTAAGTTATTTAAAACTATGGAAGGTATTGGCATTAAACCTGACATTGTTGTTTGCACTAGCCTCATTGATGGTATGTGTAGGGCTGGGAAAGTCGATGGTGGCTATCAGGTTTTTCTTAGACTTGCTGCAAGTGGTTTGCAACCAAATTGTCATACTTATAATGTCTTGATGGGTGGATTTTTTAAGACTGGTTATCTTAAGGGCGTGAATGATCTGCTTAAAAAAATGGAGGTTGAAGGTTGCATGATGGATGGTGTTACTTATAATTTAGTCGTTCAGGGATTTCTTCAATATCGCGAGACAAAAAGGGCACTTTTATGTCTTGAAAGCATGCTTGATGCTGGTTTCTCTGCAAATTCAGGCACATTAAATGACCTAGTGAAGTTATTGCACACAGAAGAGTTGGATAAGGCATCAAAACAAGTAATTAAGAAGTCTTTCAGCTAAGCACACGAAAAGGTTATAAGTTCTGGCCAGATTCCCTTTTGTTGCAAATGAGTAAGGAATTGAATTCTGTTAGATTTCACAAACAAAGTTCTTTCATTGATGTCTTCTGACATTCTATCCTGTTAAAACTACTCAAATACCCTTTTAACCCTAGATTGCCACAAGTAAACATCTCTCACCTCTCCATCTGCTTCTCCACTTCTTGTATAATGGAGGTGTCTAAAATAGTGGAAGGAGTTTGTAGTTGATTTTGCATGGAGCCACTTACAGGAAATGACTGAAAACACAGTGCAGAGTGTGTAAAGCTCAAGGCATATGATGATTCTGACTAAAAAGAAAAGATATGTGGAGAGCCAAATTTGGTGGAAAAGGAACCAACCAAAGAACCAAATTGGATCTGATGATCCGGTCTGAATCTGCATTTCTTGTTTTTATGCATCCAAATTACACCCATGAGGTAAAAAATTTAAACTACACTCCATGCTCTTACATTTCAGACATTTCATATTTCAATTTAGCCTCTGAACTGTTTTTTTTTTTTTTATTTTATATAGAATCATAGTTTGGTGGCTAAATCGATAAAATGGTGCAAGTTCATTGATGTTTACTAAAAGTAATTGAAGCTTGATTCTGTAGATAAATGGAAAATAAATAGTTTCCTGACTTAAAAAGTTCCATGAAAAAGCTAAACTAGTTTGGCTGTCCTTGAAATCGAGGGTATAGTACTTTAGCTACACTTGGTAGCTAGAAGATTTTGGCCCCTTTTCTCTATTAAGTGTTGTATAGAATTTTTTGGATAAATAACGTTAAAAAGCAACATAACACTTGGAGAAATTAAAGTACAAAATAAATGAAGGCCAGTTTAGGGCTTAATGAAAAGCATAATTTCCCTGACCTTCTCTATTAATTTGTTCTTTCTGTATTGAGCCAAAAAGGAACACCCATAAATAGCTTTACCGGATTAAGTCTTGTCCCTATTAAGTTGAAGCAATACCTAAGAAAATAGGATTACTACAAATAATGTTGGGCTGTATAAGTTGAAAAGTAGTTACATGTGCAATTATAAATTTAGGTCTTAATTGTATGTTTTAAAGCTATAAAAAGTTACTGATATTGGCTCTCTACACCCTGCAGGCTATTTTGCTATGAAGTGAGGTTTGTGCTTATTGTAATATATATGCTATTACAATGCAAACATATGGATGAATTTAAATACAGAAACGGGCTAAATAACAATGTACTTTGATCTATTTTGTTTATTATAGCATCCTACTTTCATTCTTCATGTTGTAGCAATACATGTTGAAAAAATCTACCTAGTTATAGCCATGTTATCCAAATACAATGGAGCTTCCACTGCCATAATTGGGAAGATTTTTCAAAGTACATTGTCCTAAAAAGAACATATAGAAAAAAACGATGAAATAGCCTATAATAGGGTAGATTTTTCACAACACAATACATTACTAAGAAAAAATAAAAATTGAAAGTATAATGCTGTAATGGAAGGGATGTAGTTATGGATGATAATATCTGGTTTCCCTATCAAGTATTATTTTGACTTTATTTTTCTCATTCATAAGTCTATTTAAGTCAATTTGTATTGTTTATTTTATATTTTTTTTTTTGCTGATCTATTAACAAAAGATTTTAAGATGGAAGAGATAATTTTGACGAGTCTACAAGTAAGTAGGCTGTTTTGGGCTTTACTTTATTTGTAAATGTTAAATATGTTGAAAATTAGTGGAACCATATTAAAGATGCATAGAGCTCCATAGAAAAGAACTGTACATTTTCATTTATTTTACAGCGAAGATTAAAATAAAAATTAGGCCAGGTAGTACAATGAGTAAAAGTTTATACTAGATACACGTAAATAGAAGGTGAAAAAAACAGAGCAAAATCGAAACAACACCAAAAAAGGTAATTTTGGAAATGTAGTAATTGAAAGCATTGCATGATTGTGGAGAGTACCCAAATCCTAACTATTAGCAAAAAACCAATCAGCGGACATGATATGCAATGCTTTCAATTACTACATTTCCAAGCCAAACCGGTGGAAATCAAACTTCTGTTAATTGGTTGACCATTTTACCTACAACATTTCTACCCTTGAATATATATATACACGCACAACATTTCGTGGAGTCTGTTAATTGGTTGACCCGGCGGAAATTAAACTTCTGTTAATATTTAGGTTATCCATTCCGTCCGATAAGTTTTCAAGTATAACGAAACATTACCCATCATCTAACTAGCTTCTTTTTCCAACCCAACCAATCTAAATCTAAATATCTAATTATAAACAAAAATGATTTGTGTGGGTTGCCGTGTCTATTGTTGGGAATTATAGAAAATGATGCTATGAGAACTGAGAAGGTGATGAACCGAGAAAATGAAATAAATATTTATAATAATTTAAAAGTATATATTAATATACTCTATTAATTAGCAATAGTATTGTTCTTGCTTATTCCATATTACCCATCATTCTTTTTCGTGCTATTTACTCCCATATTTTCTATGTTTCAAGATTTGCCACATAATTTTATATAGTTTGACAATTTTAGTCCATATTTTGTATGTTTCCAAATTTTGTCACAATACTTTGTATAGTTTGACAATTTTAGTCCTTGGCATGTTGTAATTAGAGATTGGCCATATATTTTAATTTTTCCACTTTAAGTCCTACTATTTTGTTTGTTTCAAGATTTTACTACAATAATTTCTATAGTTTGACAATTTTAATCCATGGCATGTTGTAATTAAAGATTGACCACATGTCTTTTAATATTTGCCACTTTAAGTCCCTTTGACCATTTTAGCCTTCTTTTTGTCCCTTTTTTCATCTTACTACTTATTTTTCATTACAGATGACCACACGTGTTTTAACATTTCTCACTTTCAGTCACTTTGACCATTTTGACATTCCTTTTATCCATTTTTTGTCTACTGATTTGTGCTTTCCTTTTGGGCTTTGTTTTCTCATCGTCATCATTTGTGAATAAAACAAAACGCATTTTAGTAATATCAGGTTCAATAAACGTACAAGAACAACCACAACGGTAACCTATATAGTTCACAACGGTGACCTATAGTTCACACGAGCTCACCCACTAGTTAGTAAATATACAATAAAGGTAAAAAGTAAATAAAAAAAGTTCTCATGGATCATAAGATAAATACCGATCAAAAAAATAAATTTTAAACAAATAAAATGAATTTAAAAAGATTAATATAAAAAATATATATATTTAATAACATATGATGAAAACGAGATACTTTATTATTCGCATTGACCTTAATCCTTAACCGAATAGTTTAAATTAACCTGTGTCCACTTAGAATTATAATCATGTTCTTTGTTCTTTTTATCCAAATTGGGCTCAAAACTAGCCCATATAAACTCAAGCCCAGATTTTTAACCCTAGAAATTAGAAAACATATCGAATTTCGAATCCAAAAACCCTTTGAACCTACATTTGCTCCACACGATAACAGCAGCGGCATCCTGCTGAGCATCAGCGAAGAGATTGTTAAGGTAATCTCTGGTGGAATTCATAACGTGATGTTTTTTCATTGCGTTTTTTTTTTTCATGTTTATTATCAGTAAGAATCACTCAAATCGCAAACTTGGTACCTGAATAATGCAGTTAACACTCTAAACTGTTGTTTTATCCTGAGTGTGCTATAAGTAGTTTAGCTAGGTACATTGATTGCATCTACTGTCTTCCTCATTTTTTGGATACAACTAGTGTGAATTAAGCGTAAATTTCTAAATATCTAGAAGAACCAGGGATACGTTGTCTATGGAGGTGCTCGTTTATTTTCTTCTGATTAATATTTAGTGTGTGGTTAACTGTGTAACTGTGTTGTCTCACAATTTATGAACTTGATTTTGAACTTCCCTTCTCTGGTAATTTGTTTTCTTATTAATGACTGTTTTCTCTGAACCCTTGCTATTGACAAACAGATATTTGAAGATGTATACCTCAATGAAGAAGATCTCTAAGGATAAGGATGTTAAACCTACTGAATTTGAGCAGAGTGTTGCCCAGGTGATCTTCTGAATATCAAAGATCATTGCTTAATTGTTGTTGACTGTTACAATTTTGATACGTATGATCTGTTAACATGTCAATGCAGGCGTTGTTTGACTTGGAGAACACACACCAAGAGCTCAAAAGTGACTTGAAGGATCTGTACATCAACTCAGCAAGGTAATCTTATATTATTTAGAAGTTAGTGTGGGCTTTCTTGTTACATCATTGAGATCTAATATGCTCTTTGGTATCTGCTTGCAGCCAAATTGATGTTGCCAACAACAAAAAGGCTGTTGTGATCCACGTGCCATATAGATTGACCAAACAATTCCGCAAGATTCACCCTAAACTTGTGAGAGAACTTGAGAAGAAGTTCAGTGGAAAGGTACATGTGTGCTGTTGTTGTTGACTATCATATGTGAACTAAAAACAAAAAAAAATTCAATTTAAGCTGACTGAAATTGTATGTGGTGACTTAATGGTGGTGGTAGGATGTAGTTTTCATTGCCACCAGAAGGATTGTGAGGCCACCAAAGAAAGGGTCTGCTGCTCAGAGACCTCGCTCGCGTACACTCACTGCTGTTCATGAAGCCATGCTTGAAGATATTGTACATCCTGCTGAAATTGTTGGGAAACGCATCAGACACAGGCTTGATGGATCTAAAATCATCAAGGTAAGTAAACACTCTTTAATAATCTTCTCTGTTTTACCCTTCATATATCATAATAGAATATCTTGATCTCTTGATTCTCTTCATCCCTTTATCCTAGTTTTTGAAAGTGAATTAAATCTTTTTTGCGTTGTTTAGATTTATTTGGACCCAAAGGCTCGCAATGACACTGAATACAAACTGGAGACATTTGCTGGAGTCTACAGGAAGCTTTCTGGGAAAGATGTTGTCTTTGAATACCCGATCACAGAAGCTTAGATCTTTTTTTTTTCTTAAGTATCATGAT